TAAACAGTTGAACGTAACGAAGTGCAACGAAGTGGAGTTCAACACACCTGTAACCTATAAACCTACTGTAATCTATAAACAGTTGAACGTAACGAAGTGCAACGAAGTGGAGTTCAACACACCTGTAACCTATGAACCTACTGTAATCTATAAACAGTTGAACGTAACGAAGTGAAACGAAGTGGAGTTCAACACACCTGTAACCTATGAACCTACTGTAATCTATAAACAGTTGAACGTAACGAAGTGAAACGAAGTGGAGTTCAACACACCTGTAACCTATGAACCTACTGTAATCTATAAACAGTTGAACGTAACGAAGTGCAACGAAGTGGAGTTCAACACACCTGTAACCTATAAACCTACTGTAATCTATAAACAGTTGAACGAAACGAAGTGCAACGAAGTGGAGTTCAACACACCTGTAACCTATAAACCTACTGTAATCTATAAACAGTTGAACGTAACGAAGTGCAACGAAGTGAAGTTCAACACACCTGTAACCTATAAACCCTCTATAATCTTTATTTCTCTATTTCATTAGAATAAAACTAAAAAGTAGAAAATAAAATACTTTATAAAAAAAACTTTTTAAAAAAACTACGTTTTTCGCGTAGACTAAAAAGTAGAAAATAACTTTTATTCTTGGTTGTAAAGAATTTGGTTTTAAATTTTCAGATTATATTTAATAAATTTTTATATCCTAGTCAATATTGTTCACAAAGTTTCGAATAAGTGCATTTTGATCTTATCGTATAACTCAACAACTTAAAAACGTGGGCGCATTAATTTAAGTTTATCATAAAGTATTGATTTCACATAAACTTATTTCTCCTCTTATAATGCGCCCACGTTTTTAAGTTGTTGAGTTATACGATAAGATCAAAATGCACTTATTCGAAACTTTGTGAACAATATTGACTAGGATATAAAAATTTATTAAATATAATCTGAAAATTTAAAACCAAATTCTTTACAACCAAGAATAAAAGTTATTTTCTACTTTTTAGTCTACGCGAAAAACGTAGTTTTTTTAAAAAGTTTTTTTATTGAGTTGCTCTGTCTGTTGGTTTCTTTGTCACGTTCAAAACTTGCAATCGATTTTTCGACCACTTCTGCTGCTCCAATCGAGCTCAAATTTTTTATTCACACGTATTCCCGGTGACAATACAATATTTTAACTTTTTGAAACCACAAAAATGCTTAATTATAGTAAAATTTAAGTAAAACTTTTTTATATGGGAAAACAATTCAATGTCAATGATATAAAATTTTGATTTGTTTAAAATATTATATTTGAAATGCTCAAAAGTCATTTATGTGATTCATTATAGTTTAATTAATATTACTAAATATTAATTACACTATAAATTTGAGCAGCTAAAGATATTCCGGTAAGACAAAAAAATTGACATGTAATTTTTTCATGAATATTCGTAAGTGAAAATTTGAATTTTCAAAAAAACCGTTAAGCACAAGTCCGTTACGAATTAATGCAAAATAACTATTAATATGAGATATGCATTTAGCACACATAGTTTGAGCATATATTTATGCTGTTTTTAATGTATTACATTATTTATAAAACTTCACCAACTTAATTAAATTTACTTTTCTATTTATTAACGGCTTGAAGTATATTTGTATATAAACACAAAATCTCCAAGATTCATTTTTAATGTCCTTTACTAATGAATGTTTTAAAAGCACAGAAAGCGCACATAATTGAAGTTCAGGATATTTTTTAAGAAGTTTCATCTGTTTCCAGGTATGACTTAAATTGAATGATTCTGGGGAAAAATGTCGTAATTGCATTTTGTTCTTTTACTTGTTATAACTCTAAAACTATAGAAGATAACATAGACATATTATACATCGTTGGAATTGACATCCAAAGAGCTAATTAATTATGCTATTTTTGAACCGGTTCAATCGGTTTAAACGGTTTAAAAACCGGTTCAAAGTTGAAAAACTAAGAAATTGAATATCTTTTTCAATACTTAATCAAAGGCTTTGCTTTTTAGCTCATTTTGTAGCCTTTAAAAATGCTCACAACTTGTTGGAGCTAGATTTTTGATTGTCGACCTGTGACGTCATTTATGAGCTATTTATGTTGAAATTTTGACAGCTTATTTCTCAGCAACTACATATGATACAATAACGATATATATCTTAAAAATTTCCAATTTTCCTATAAATTAATGAACATTAAAAATTAGTGGGATTTGTGAATAAGTTTTGTCAAAAAATGATAAAACCTTGAAACATTAAAACCCTTATGAACCTATTTTACCTTTATTTGATATTTATCTTTCAGATATGGAAAAAATTCTTATCACAATAAAAAGAGCTTTTAATTTCCTTTAAAATGATATGTAACATGCTTGGGGTTTATCAGTAAATGACGTCTAAAATTTTTTTATTGTTTTTTAATGATTTTTGTACCTATTTCTCACTATTTCTATTTAATTTTAGTCTTCTATTCCACTTTCTTCTATTTTTTCACATTTTTCATCGAAATAAAAGTAAATATTGCCATTTCATCAAAAAATACTAATGATTTATTAAGTAGCAAAACTTCAATAACAAATAGTTGAATGCACATTTAAGACATTTTTAGACGTCATTTACTGATAAACCCCAAGCATGTTACATATCATTTCAAAGGAAATTAAAAGCTCTTTTTATTGTGATAAGAATTTTTTCCATATCTGAAAGATAAATATCAAATAAAGGTAAAATAGGTTCATAAGGGTTTTAATGTTTCAAGGTTTTATCATTTTTTGACAAAACTTATTCACAAATCCCACTAATTTTTAATGTTCATTAATTTATAGGAAAATTGGAAATTTTTAAGATATATATCGTTATTGTATCATATGTAGTTGCTGAGAAATAAGCTGTCAAAGTTTCAACATAAATAGCTCATAAATGACGTCACAGGTCGACAATCAAAAATCTAGCTCCAACAAGTTGTGAGCATTTCTAAAGGCTACAAAATGAGCTAAAAAGCAAAGCCTTTGATTAAGTATTGAAAAAGATATTCAATTTCTTAGTTTTTCAACTTTGAACCGGTTTTTAAACCGTTTAAACCAATTGAACCGGTTCAAAAATAGCATAATTAATTAGCTCTTTGGATGTCAATTCCAACGATGTATAATATGTCTATGTTATCTTCTATAGTTTTAGAGTTATAACAAGTAAAAGAAGCAAATGCAATTACGACATTTTGCCCCAGAATCATTCAATTCTATAAAACAAATGAATGAAAAAATGTAATCTATAAACAGTTGAACGAAACGGAGTAAAACGAAGTGGAGTTGAATTTGAATTGCTGTGGTCGATATTCGATTGAAAGATTGAGACTAAAAAGTAGCAAATAAAAAAAATGTTAAAAAAACTTTTTAAAAAACACGCTTTTTCCCAAAGACTTAAAAAACAAATAACATTTTTTCTTGAAGTTAAATCTGTTGTTAAGACTAAAAACCAAGCGACCAAAACAGGAGCAAATAAAAAAACGTTAAAAAACTTTTTAAAAAACACGCTTTTATCAAAAAGATTAAAAACCAAAAACTTGAAAATAAAATAAGATCACACTTTTAGCGAATCAGGATTTTAAAAGTTTTCTTGTGACATCTAGAAATGTAACATAATTTTTTTCAAAATATTGTGATTAAGTCCAAGAACACAATGACTCTAAAAGCGTGGGGCTTTGAGACTTGACGTTCTCTTACTTAAGAATATAGCTGAACTAAGAAATTCATCCTTAAATTACGCCCCACGCTTTTAGAGTCATTGTGTTCTTGGACTTAATCACAATATTTTGAAAAAAATTATGTTACATTTCTAGATGTCACAAGAAAACTTTTAAAATCCTGATTTGCTAAAAGTGTGATCTTATTTTATTTTCAACCTTTTGGTTTTTAGTCTTTTTGATAAAAGCGTGTTTTTTAAAAAGTTTTTTAACGTTTTTTTATTTGCTCCTGTTTTGGTCGCTTGGTTTTTAGTCTTAACAACAGATTTAACTTCAAGAAAAATGTTATTTGTTTTTTAAGTCATTGGGAAAAAGCGTGTTTTTTAAAAAGTTTTTTTAACATTTTTTGATTTTTTTGATAGAAAAAAGCCATTTAACACCCATTTCAAGTATTTAAATTGAACTTTATGTGCTTTACTATGATTCTGTGTAACATTTTGTCAGCATGTAGCTATAGGAAGCTCAGAATTTCAAGATAGCCGATTTTAAGCCGATCGGCTTAAAATCGGCTTACTTTAAATTCTGAGCTTCCTATAGCTACATGCTGACAAAATGTTACACAGAATCATAGTAAAGCACATAAAGTTCAATTTAAATACTTGAAATGGGTGTTAAATGGCTTTTTACTATCAAAAAAATCAAAAATTGAGTTAAGCCGAAAAAATCGGCTTCGATCTCTGCTTTTTAGTTATAAGTAAAACTGTTTATTTTACATACTTAAAGGAAGTATAATAAACATTTGATAAACAATTTAAATGAAAAAAATTATTGTTACGTTATGGGGGGGGGGAGGGGGGGTCTAAGATTTTGTTACGCTTTGTTACAGGGGGGGGAGGGGGGGTCTAAAAACTCGTTTTTTTGCGTTACGTAATAAGTGAACGAGCCCTTATGTAGAATTAAGTTATCACAACCTACACCTAGTCGCTATCATAGTCACAATCTCTTAAATAAACCAAACTGAATCATAATCCACAATCTAAAACCTCCATCCCATTAAAACTTATAATTTCCTCACACAAAACGTCAAAACTCATCTCAAAACACACATATGTAAATGCAAATGAATATGAATAAGATGCAGCACATGTGCGAAATAAATTACTCAAATTTCCTCAACCATTTAATTGCAGCATTCTTATATGAAATTATCATAAGTATATCTTCAAGTCTTTAAATAGCAAGCAATGATGTTCTGCAAATTACACAACATAATTTTATATGCCATATGACGGCATGGAATGCTTACCTCATCAACCCAGTTCTTGTATTTCTCGGTGATTGGCATTTGTTCCAGCATCGCAGAGCCCTGATTTGTCTTCCAATTTCCAGTCATTGATTTGCGCCTGTCATTAAAAGTAAGAAGAATATAAAAATAAATGTCAAAAAATTACAGCTAATTATTATATTTCTCTATATGTGCATTGACCACGATTCAATGTCAAGCATAAAAAAATACTGTTCAATAAAATGTCTAATTCATTGTCAAAGCCGTTAAGTCCATTTGAAATATATACTTGTGCCGGTTTGAGTGCTTTGAATACAAGCTATTTTAAAATAATAATAATAAAAAATATCTCAAATGAGTAAGAGACAGCGACTGAGACTAAGAGAAGAAACACATAAGAAAAAAAAAAAACAATTACAGACTCAACAGTCGATCTTAATTGAAATTGTGGTTGAGTGTGCATCATTCGTGCACATATGTGTAAAAACAATTCACATGCAAGACAACATTTTTGAGGTGAGAAATGAATAAGAAGGTTGATTAACCGATGACATAGAGGAATTGAAAGAGATTGTGGAAGTAGAAGGTTAAAATGTCATCGAGGAAGCTCGACTTTGTGACGGTTGAATTAAAATTGATGGAAAAAAAGAGATTCGTTTCTCTTGTGCAACTAAATTATAATGCACGACGAGATAAGGTCAAAAGATTACTATGGAAATTGTTTTGCTTGGCGTTGATTTGAGACGTCATTTAAAGGCTTCATCTCTGCTTTTTACCGGTAAATTATGGCTTGGAAGTGACTGTAAGTTGAAAGAGTCAGTAGAATGTGTTCAATGTTGCTGTTTGTTCGTTCTTGAGGATGCATTGGCTGCAACCAGACAATGCCACAGCTATTTGTTGACGGGCTCAACGTGTAAAGTGTTGACTTAATGTTAGGGGCCGTTCACTTATGACATCCGACATTTAGGGGAGAGGGGGGTCTAGGATTTTGTGAAAGTTCAAACAATGGAAATGTTTTCTGTAGAATTTTTGTGACAGAGAAGGGGGGAAGGGGGGTCTAAAATTAGGTTTTTTCATGGACGTCATAAGTTAACGACTCCTTAATTTGATGTCTGAAGCCGGGTTTTAAGGCTCCTGAGTTTAAAAACTGAGACAACCAGACTGTTTTGGGTTCTGCTTGGTGTCTAACCTACTATGGAGCTTTTTAAATCAATTGGGATTCATGACTTTCCTAAGATGTTAAACTAAAGCTGCCATTTTATAACCCTCAACAACCAATTCTTAGTGCATTGCTGTTTCTTTCTCCAATGTCTTTCCATGAGCTCCTCGAACTCTAACGTGATCTCTGAACTCAAAGTCACATAATTTTTAAGCTAGTCAACATTTGCTGACCCATGTGAGTCACATGACTTTCATCTATTGATCATTAAAAAGCTTTCCAAATTTGTCCAATAAACCTCCCCAAAATCCATCATTGCAACTCTAAATTCAAAACAATTTCAAAACCTTGACCTTCCTTTCCAACAAAATAACAGTCTCTTAATTCCCCATCAATCTATCCATAACAAATCATTAAGCAGTAAGTAAACTTTCACGATCGACTGCATAAAAGCGGCTACATAGATTATATTTTTTAGACTTACATAAAGGCCTTATAGCTGCTGCCAATCTTCTGTATCAAGATATCGTATTTGGCATCAATATATGGCTCGATGCAGCAGTATGAACCATGATTATTAATCACAGGACCACACAACAAACCAGCAGCATCTTGTAATGCGCCCGCTATATCCAATTTTGCAATTGCTCTTCCACCATGACAGTGACCCGCTTTTAAGACACAGGGAAACTTGTTCCAATTGCACTGAAAATAGAAAAAGAAATGAGAGAAAAAAATAAGTAAGTAAATTCTTTCAAGTCAATGAACGTTCATCTGTTATTGTGTTCAAAAAGTCGTGTGCGATGAAACGTCAAATCGTGATAGACAATTATATAAGGAAAAGTGTGTACAACAAAAAATAAAGTATTTAAGAGACTTTAAAAAAAATATTTTACATGTGAAGCGTGTCAAAAGAGTAAAAAACTTATTCCTCACAGCACCAAATAACTCATTCTGAGGTTCAGTTCTTTACGTGTTTCTATGAATGGCACGTGCCTTTTACACAAATGAAATTTTCTGTATGAATTTTTTATAAGTTGAAATTTGCGATTGAAGGTTTATTGGACAGTAAAGCGCACGTTTATTAAGGAGAAACTTTGATGGATTTGAATGAAGATTGCGTCGTAGGGAGTGGATGGAAAGTGTGGAGGTTTATTCAGAAACAAAAACTATTCTTTGATTTAGAAAGACTTCTTTGAATTCTAAAACAAGTATTTTCAAAAACCAAGAAATCTTTAACTAGGTACAATTGTGCTGCAAGTTAGGCTACGCTGGATTTTTAAAGCTACTAATGATACTGTCGTCAACAAATTGACAAAGTTCCTTCCCTGCGCAGCAAATGACACCAAAGAAGTTAAAAATATGGTGCTCAGTGTCATTATAGTGTTTAATCCTGTTTTAAACCAATCTCGTGCAAACCCAGACCACTTTTCTTACTATCCACATAATCCAGATATTACAAATACAGGATTATAGAGTTTTTTTAAAGTTTCATCCTTGAAGTTACGAAAAGTAGAACTCTTGCAAAGCTCCTGGCATCTACTTGAGTCAGAATTTTTAAAATCAGACCCAGATTCAATAAGGTCAAATCGCGCGGTATTTTTTTAAAATTTTTAAATAAGAAAGTCCGTTACTTTTTATTTTTTTTAAACTGGCTGTTTTTTAAAGCATAAACATTTAAGGAATGCAATTTCATTACAGCGATTATCTTAATCATAAAAACTAGTAGGAATGTTCACTAAAATTACAAATTACTCGAAAAATAATAATTCACGACGAATTTTTTTAAAAATAAGAACTTCCAAAATTCGATTTTCGAAAAATAAGAACCTCAAAAATTCGAAGTTCGAATAGTAAGAACTCAAAAATTTCTGTTTGCTAGCATTGGAATAAGGTTTTCCCGAATAGCACAAGTCGGTTAATCAAATAGAAATTCGGCACTATCTGGCGTAGTTCTGGTCAAATGCTGGACTCAAATCGAATCTAGGACCATGTCAGAGCTACCTCAATTTGCTGCCAAATTTCTATTCGATTAACCGACTTGTCCTATTCGGGGATGGTCAACAAACCTTTGATCCACGAGCCAGAACTTATGTTGTACAAGCTCTTAACCTCAAAGTGCCAATAGATCCCCAAACTTCTCAAAAACTCTCTCCGAACAACATTTTCGAACTCAACAATAATAAAAGAAATTAAAATTCTTTAAAAAAAAAACTTTCAATATTTTTGGCGGACTTTTTTAATTCATTTGTATTTATTTTGCTCAAGCGTGGTCTCAAGAGAAAGGAAAGACGATAATTTTGTATATTTTATATCGTTTTCTCACAATATATAAACATTTGGCATCAATTAACTTCTTCCTTCCTTCACAATTTGCTAAAAGAATTATTTTCAATTTCTTATTTACATGCAATTTCTTCAAAATGACATCATCGACATAAAAGTTTTGTATTTACGTTCCGAATGTTGCTGACAAGTTAATGACATTGAAATTAAGACTCAAAATAAGATTATTTTACAATCTTTCTCTCAAAATATTTTGAGAGAGAGGCTCGCTATTGACATTGCAAATGTCATGAATGATGTAAGATTATTTTGATTTGCAAATTATTTTTTAATGTTCTGATCAAGTTTTATGGATCGTGGGATTTATTGTTATAGTCGCCATATGAAGGATCAGTCATTGCTGTTTGACAAACGGAATAAATTTGAATTTCAATAATATTTTTGAAATCTTTCAATATTTCTAAAATCTTTTAATGACGTCAATGCCTCAATATGGAACATATAAAAGTCACTCATTCTCATCGCCTGAAGATCAGTCAAAAAGAAGAGATTGAGAATGGAGATGAGAACGAAAGTTGCGAATAAACATAGCGAAATCTTGATGTGCGAGGAACTAAACACTTTCATCACTTTATTGCAAATTCTTGTGTTTATTGCAAATTAAAATCTTTGAAGGTTTTTCATAACAAATTTTTTAGAGGTTTTGGAGAAAGTTTTTTGATGATTGATTGAGGTTAAGATATGAATATCTGGCAGAAGTTTTCTAAGGATAGAGCTGTGTTCAGACAATCTCTAAGTGTGGCCACGTGCGCCCCAGCTAAGAACGTAAGCAAGTAAAATATGATCTAAAGATTTATTTTCAAGTATTTGTAAGATCAGAACTGGAACAGTCTATAGAATGGTTCAAATCCTTTTTGAGCAATTACATTTTGATCATTTTTGATCAATTTTGATCATTTCATCAGTACCACACCCTTGGACCGTACAGATCAATTGTGATCCATGGTCTCCTTTAGATGGCGCCTAAAACTGGTTCTATCGCTGACTCAGTTTGCCAATTACTCATATTAAATGCAATACTGTCTCTGTCAACAGCTTCTTTCCAAGACGTTCGAGTGATATTTTGAAATATCTTTGTAATTTTTGATAAATCGACTTTAGTAGGTTCATATCAATATTCTAAAATAGATTTGAGTTTAGAAAATTTACAAAATACCAGCACCAGACCGGCGTGAGGCTGGTTCAGAGCTAAATTCATTCAAATCCAACTCCACACTAGCCTTATGCCTTCTTAGTCCTCAGTGACATCCCAATCGGAAGCAGTTGGAGTCTTATTTCGCCACATGTGTCAAAAACCTTAGATACACACCTTGTTAATGCCTCTGTTTTGTGACTTTAGCAAGCAGTTTGTCAAACAAGTTGATACTCAATAAAATAAGATATTTCCGATACTATCCTCAATGTCAAGACCAACTAATCCATAAACTTTCCCCAACTTCATGATATCATCAATTTATCAATCAAGAAACTCATCAGATTAAGCATCAGTGTCACGAAAGTCATAAAAAAGTTTAAAACCCATAAAAAATGACCACCAAAAAGTCTACCAAATCACCTAGCAAATGTCCAATCCTTCCACAACAAACATTAAATCTTACAGTAAAAATTTCTGTCAAATCACATAAAAAAGTCACTCGAGTGAAGCTCAATTTTAGTGCAAAGAAATGAATTGAATTGAAAATAAATTCGTGAAATGCTTGCGAATTGATTTATGGATATTCATTTGACAATCAGCAATTCTATTCAAATAAAGTTGTTGACATTAAAAAAAGTCTTTAAATTATTATTTTTTAATATTTAATAAATTTGTCTGCATTTTTATGGAAATAATTTGAGTTTTTGTGTTTTTAAAACAGAATATGAATTTGAAATGTTATTGACAAGTTATTGATGAAATTTTGATTGATTAAGTGGTGGACTGAGGGGTGATGAAAGTTTTTTGGCGGGAAAATTGTGAATTAAGAATTTTTGGCGAGACAAACTAGGATTTGAAAGGTTTTTGTAGGTTTCAAGCTAGAAATTTTAGTTTTTGGAGGTTATTGATGAGAAAAGTCAACCTGTATAAGGGCAATTCCATGAAACGATTTGTCTACAAATTTTTCTCCAAATTGATTTTTACATCTTTAGACTATTCTACTGCAAATAAGCTTTTCGTAGGTCATTTAAAACATCATTTTCTATTTAATTGACTGAAATTTGCTTACTTATAGTGGTTTATTAAAGAATTATTTCAATTCTTTTGGCGTTACTTAGTAACACAATCGAAGAAAAAATAATTTGGAGACTCACTTAAAGCGATTTTTCTTTCCTTTTCGCAGTTTGTTAATAATAAAGACTGTCACAACTCAAAGATTGATTATCAAGCTACCAAAATCTAGCATTAAATTAACTCAAAAGTGCTTAATTAAGCTACAATTTTAATTTCTATGTGACTTAAAAAGATGTTACTAAGTAACGGAGAGATTTATTCCGTGAAAAAATACAGAATTCAAAATTTTAAAATTCTATTTTTTCAATGTATTTTTCATTAAAGTAATGTTCAACTAATTAGAATTACTCATTTTAGGATGAAAAATAGTTTAAGTTGAGTAAAACATTAAGAAAATAAGAGTACAAAGAAATATTTAAAAAAATAATATTTCTTACTTAATAGACTTGGATCAAACTCAAATGTAAACAATGAAACTATTTCATGGAATTGCCCATAACACAAGATCAATTAGAAATCCGGCACCAAGCCCGCATGACCTTTGCATGGTACTGTCTTGGATTTAAATCCAAAATCACGCAGATTCACACCAGCTTGGTTCCGGATTTCTGATCGATTACCCGACTTGTGCCTTTCGAGATTGTTTGTAACTTTTGGCGGCAAAAATTTAGTATTGAAAAGTTTTGGCGCGAAAATATAGGTTGTAATAATTTTAGAGTTGAAGTTTGAGGTTCGAAGGTTTCACGTTAAAAATAATTTGTATTCTGAATTCCAGAATTGTAGTAAATGAAGTTTTTGGCGGGAAAATCAAAGAAGTTGATGATAAAATGGCTTTCCTAAAAAATGTCCCACAAATCTATTCAAAAAAGCCACAAATCACCTTCATAACCTCAAATTCAAAACCACAAATCATAATCACAAGTCGATCTAAAAGCCATTCATTCATAATCTTGTCCCATTTACTCAGAATATCATCAATAAATCTACTAGAATTTATCGTTATCATCTCAACAACAAATTTTCCTTGACAAAAAAAAGACACGACGCCAACGTAATTAAGAACATTTTTATGTGCATTTAATTAAATTATCTTAACCGACTGACTAGAAAATCGAAAAAAAAAGAAATTTTTCATTTTCTTCTTTGAGCA